CTTTAAAATCTGTCTCAAAAAGTAGTCACCATGGCGCTTGGTCGACTTGGACTCCACGACATGAATAACATCCTGAATGATTGCAAATAGTTCATATGTAATTAGTCATACATTGCCAAAGTAGGCAACAGACTTGAAGTAAATTCCAGGATGGAGCTCCAATTATTTAGAGACTACAGCAGCTCAATGTGGTACCTCAATTAGCAATTGATATAGTGAAGATATTAACTTCTAAGATACAGCAGAAAGCACCAACTCATAATAAAGAAATCAACACAAACATAATAAGTGGATGCAAAAAACTTATCTTTGCCACAGAAAGGAGAATCGACATTACCTCATTAATGTAGAAATCAAAGTCTGCACTGGATACAATTTTCCCATTACTGTCAACTGCATGCATTTTGTGCTTGTACGTCATAAGGATAGACCTGTCCAAATGTTTGAAAATTTCTTATTCACACAGACCAATAAAAAAACAAAGACAAGTCAATGCTCACACAGACCTAAGTGTTGCCTCATCCATTTCCATATACTGGGCAAGTTTGGTGATAGTTATTGCTGAGTATAACTTTAGATAGCTCCGGATCCCAGAAAGCAGCTGTTGCTGCTTCACTTCATACAGGAACAGCTTCAATTGAAGCCGATAGGCGTCCTGTCACGTAACAAGAAAAATAATCAACAATTTATTCTGCATGTCTACTCTTTGATTTTTTTGGGGGGAAATCTACAGGTCAAGGAAATAGAAGTAATTCTCAAGGAATAAGAACCTCAAAACATATGCAGTACAGAACAAAAATGTTCAGAAGTACATCTGTTCACAAAAGTGATACTAGCTTCCATCTGAGCATTTGGAACCCACATGCTAGCAGCTTCACTGGTAAGAAAACTAGCCTCTTTATGCATCAACTTTACTTCATGGGCTCCTTTTAGCAACTGTCTTGTTCCTAATATACCTTTCTTGTATGTATGTTTATTACCCTTAATGAAAAGATGTGCTAATGATATTTGAACATACTCTAAAGAACATAGAAACTAAAAAAAATGCAAACTAAAGCACTGAAACCTTTGAGAAAATATGACAAGAAAAACCTCACCCTAGATGTTTTGACTACTACATGAGATTTATTGCTGAATAGGACAAGAAAAACCTAACCCTAGAATTGTAGGACTCTGAAATACGGATTTCCAACTACCAAAGAGTTGCTTCCTTTTCACTACTATTTTGTGATGAATAAAACAAGTAGGGTTACATGGTAGAATTTGCCTGTAGAAACTGAAAACAAATAGATCACCATTATGGTTGTCCACAAGAAACGTTACCTGGTTATAATTTGTAAGTGGCTGGTCCAGAACTGGAGGTGATGGCGTAATAAACTTGGGGCAGGCATACGAAAATAGCTCATCGTAGGCAGCATATGCTTCATCATCAAACCTCTGCATCTTTGTCATTTTGTCATTGTACTTTTCTTTCAGCTGGGCGCTAACATTTTCATCTATGAGTTTGTTCTGCGGACACAGAGATAGGCAAATTGCCAGCAGCGCATACATCTGCTCATTTTTCTTCAGAATCTGGTCATACTGAGGGGATTTCTGATGGTACTGCTTATACTTTATAATGTAAAGCAGAATTTTGTTGAATTCCTTGGTAGCATCGACATACCTAGGTTTACAAACGAATACAGTCTATTAGCTAAAAGAACTGACTCCCAGCTTTGGAAATTTCATGATGGCTGAATCAAAACAAATTTCACTTATTTGGATTTACATAAGAAAATCATGAGATCTTTGTTGGAGTTATATGGCATAATACAATCTATTGGACAATTATAGTGATGCTAGCAAAGCATTTTTATGCTGCTTATGTGTGTATGGAGCAGCAGAAAGTGAAGCTAAAAATGCATAAGGCCAGTGTGGTAATCCCCAAAAAAGGCGGATGCTTTTGTACCTGCGCATCATAAGGTTTGCAAATCCATAATGATAGATTGTCGAGATGTGACTCCCAATCACAATGGTGTAGACCCCCTGCTGGTTAAGGTTGATCGGTGCCAAGCACTTGAGGCCAGTGTGGTAATCACCAAGAAGGCAGTGTATCCTGAGAAGCCCAATCATGCTGTAGTAACCCAGGACCTTGAGCACATTGCTCCCACCCTGGTAGTCATACCCGTCGGTGGCGGTAAACGACTCCAGCCCCTCTTTCTCCCTCTCCAGAATCTGTGCGATCATGGACTTCTCAACGAGTGCTTGCAGGTAATTGAGAACCCCATAGACATTCCATGCCTGCAAAAGAACAGAATGAACAACTAGATTGTCCGCAGCACAATCGCCGGATAAACTGAATCTAGCAAAGCAAAATAAAATTGAAGCCTTTGTTTTTTTACCTTGTCAAACTGCTTTAGCTGCTGGAGCTCGTCTTCCGTCTTGTTCTTGAGCTTGGCGCGGTACTGGCAGAAGCTCTGGAACTGGTAGACGAACTCGTCCACCATGTCCCACAGCCACTGGTTAGGCAGCTGCATGTTGACGACGCCGTGGAGGACGACGCTGAAGAGGTCGCAGTAGTTGTTCCAGGACTCGGAGCGGTGGCTGGCGGTGAGGGGGGAGAGGCGCGCGTAGGCGTGGCGGTACCAGAGCTCGCGGTAGAGGAGGAGGAAGACGTGGTCGCCGTCGCAGTAGGGCGCCACGGCCTCGGCCGACGGCCAGGGCGTGTCGCGGAAGAGGCGGTCGGAGAGGCGCTGGAAGCCGCCCTCGTACATCTGGTGGATCTCGTAGACGTTCTTGTCGCGGATGTGGCGGTACAGGTGCACCACGAAGGTCTTCACCGAGTCCGGGACGTAGTTGGGATCGTAGGCGTCGGCGGGGCCGCCGCCGTGCGGCTGCGGCGGCGCGAGGCCGTCCTCCCGGTCGTAGGCGGACGCCATGGTGTGGCGCTGGGGGGTTTGGTTAGGGTTTCCGGGTTGCGGCGGCGGCGTTGAGGGGGGTGGGAGGAGGCTTCAGAGGGGAGCGCTTTGTTGGTATGGCCTTCGTCTTTGTTTTGTTTGTGTTGATGGGTTTTTACGGGTTTTCATCGGTTGCATGGGCTTCAGGAGTTCTCGGAGCTGGCCCCTTTCGGCCCACTTGAAGCGAGATCCCAATATATATTTCTGCAGATCGCTGCAAAAAAAATCTTCTTTCTCGAAGGATTAGTGTTAGATTAGGAAATATGAAAATTAATGATAATTTTGTGGAAACACCACTCAAATACCCTTTGTAAAAGTGATAAAATATCGGGCCATCAACTACTCTGCCCTCTTTTACATTATATAAACCGGTGACACTTTAATCATTCTTAAAGTTGATCCTAACGTCGGAAAATATCTACGTACCATCCTTGATGATTACACCTGGGCAAAGGGCCTCTTGATCAATTTTTTTAAAAAAATCTATCTTTGTCCTGCTCAACATTGACCCTGACCAATCCACTGCCATGTCAGCTGATCTAGGCGCTGATATTGCGGCCTTTCCCAGAATCATGTTAGTCTCCCTCTCTCCCTGCACAAAATTTCTGTCATGGCCTTTCAACCGGTTATTGACAATTGCGACATTTGCCTCATGAGATGGTGTGCCCTTTTACTATCACGCGGTGGTCATCTCATCCTCCTCTCCGCCCTTCTCGATTGTTTCCCTGCCTACTTCATGATTTGATTCACACTTTCAAAAAACATTATCGAGGAAATAAACAAACATGGGTGGATTTTCTTCTAGTCAAATGATGATTATTCCTGCGCTCCAAAAATTGCCATGGAAGATTCGATACTTGACCACTATCCACTTCACTTAGATCTAGGTATAAAAATGCTTTTTCCTTGACAAGGTATTTTTCAAACACTTAAATGATCTTATAGTAATTTCCCAAGTGTCAATTGGAGATGGATTATCAAATTTCTTCTCATTAGACAGATGGTTTCTTCTTGAGCCCGTCTGCATTGCTTACACTGCCTCATTCACCCACCATACTAAACCACTGCCATTGTACATAATATTTTGGATGGGATAGATTTGGGCATGCGTAGCCGACAACCTTAATTGCTTTCGATGAGCTCGCTTCCTTGAGACTTTTGTTGCATGGTGTGTGCTATTTCTTGAGCTTGTGTTGGTTTTCCCCTTGAAGAGGAAAGGGTGATGCAGCAAAGTAGAGATAAGTATTTCCTTCAGTTTGAGAACCAAGATATCAATCCAGTAGGAGGTACAAGCAAGTCTCCAATCTATGCACCTGCACAAACAATCAAACACTTGCACCCAACGCGATAAAGGGGTTGCCAATCCCTTCACGGTCACTTGCAAGGATGAGATATGATAGAGATATATATAAAAGATAACTAAAACGTAAAACAAAGTAAAACCAAATAAATTGCAGCAAGTATTTTTGGGGTTTTTGGTTTATAGATCTGGAAATATATGATGGAAAATAGACCCGGGGGCCATAGGTTTCACTAGAGGCTTCTCTCTTAAAAGAAAACATACAGTGGGTGAACAAATTACTGTCGAGCAATTGATAAAAAAGCGCAAAGTTATGACGATATCCAAGGCAATGATTATGAATATAGGCATCACGTCCGTGTCAAGTAAGGGCATATTTCTCCCTAAGTGGTTTTGGTGATTGATGATAGTGCATTTGCGGACTAATCGTGTGCATTGAGCATTTCAGATATCTCATGTCTAGGCACAAGATGATTCGGTGCCCCTCGGAGCCTATCGAAGACTGATGTTCTCTACGTTTCTTTTCGGTGGATTTAAGTCGTAGGAAAGCCGTACTATTAAGAGGGGGTCCGCTTCGGAAAGGTTAGGGTGGAATCAACACGTACACATATGTTCCTTTGCACCACCTTTCCTTCGCTTCGATGGAGCACTGTTCGTTTATCCATGTCTCTGCGATATGAAGGCAACCAAATGCTAAAGCTTCTGTGGCATGCGGTTGTACTGATCAAGGGAGCGGTAGTACCGCAGGGGCTAGCGGTAGTACCGCTCCTGGTGAGCGGTAGTACCACTGCCTCCATCCCTGAAGAAGATACATGCAGAAGTAGGCGCGGATGTAATTTTTTACATCTGCCCTTATGCGGTAGTACCGCGATGGCTGTCCGATACTACCGTGCCGGACTTTTGCACAGTTCCAACCTCAGCGGAAGTTGTTACAGAAGTAATTTATTACTTCCGTGCATTTCTAGTGCCAGTTGATACCTGCCTTACGGTAGTACCGTAGGGGCGCGCAGTAGTACCGCTCCGGCGGTTCTACCGCTCGTTGCCCTGTGCAACAGGCCCTCATCTGGTCACTACCACACAAGCGGTAGTACCGCACACTGCAGCGGTGGTACTGCAACCCTATGCGGTAGTACCGCGGCTGTGTGCGGTAGTACCACGTCGCGCGGGCTGAGAGAGGGGATAACGGTTGGATCTTTCCCCCCACTATATAAAGGGGGTCTTCTTCCCCAAGAAGACCGCCTCTTCCCTCCCCAAGCTCCATTGTTGCTCAAACCTTCATTTTTGCCCGATCTCTCTCCCTAGTGATAAACCACAAGTATAGGGGATCGCAACAGTTTTCGAGGGTAGAGTATTCAACCCAAATTTATTGATTCGACACAAGGGGAGCCAAAGAATATTCTCAAGTATTAGCAGTTGAGTTGTCAATTCAACCACACCTGGATAACTTAGTATCTGCAGCAAAGTATTTAGTAGCAAAGTAGTATGGAAGTAACGGTAATAGTAGCAAAAGTAACAGTAGTAGTTGTAAGGGCATATTTATCCCCAAAGATGTTTTGGTGATTGATGACAATGCTTTTGCTGACTAATCGTGTGCGTTAAGTTCTTTCAGAGATTCATCCATTGGCACGAGACGATTACCCCCCCCCCCTCGGTGTTTTATTCAAGACGGTGTAGCTCCTTCGTTTCGTTGTTGGTGGACTAGTTTCGTAGGAGTCATCGTACTATCAAGAGGGGATCCGCTTTGGTAAGGCTAGGGTGGAATCAACACGTACACATCCATATCACACCCGACGTTTTCCTTCCGCTTCATTGGAGCTGCCCTTTCCTCCTGTGCCTGCCTGGTCCTGCCCCAGCGGTAGTACCGCGATCCTCAGCGGTAGTACCGCCGAAGCACTCAAGCGGTAGTACCGCTCCCCGAGCGGTAGTACCGCTTGTGGTCTTCGGCCGTAGTACCGCAGTGGTACCGGGCTACTACCGCCTCGACTCGAGACCGATGTTTTTCGTGTCGGGTTTTACGGTACTAAGTGCGGCAGTAGTGGCGGTAGTACCGCTCCAAGCGGTAGTACCGCTCCTACTCCCGCGGTAGCACCGCTCTGGGGCCAGGACCCTGACCTCCTCGTCAGCGCGGTAGTACCGCTGGGTGGGAGCGGTAGTACCGCTCTTCAGCGGTAGTACCGCCCTGCCCAAGCAGTAGTACCGCTCTGTGCGTGGGTGTTCAGTGGGGTAACGGTTGGATTGGTTCCCCCACTATATAAAGGTGTCTTTTTCCCCAAAGTTGATCTACCTCTTTCCCCCAAAGCTCCATTGTTGCTCCAAGCTCCATTTTCTCCTGATCTCTCTCCCTAGCCAATCAAACTTGTTTATTTGCTCGGGATTGGTTGAGAAGGCCCCAATCTACACTTCCACCAAGAGAAATTTGATTCCCTCTCTTATCCCTAGCAGATCTTGTTACTCTTGGGTGTTTGAGCACCCTAGACGGTTGAGGTCACCTCGAAGCCATACTCCATTGTGGTGAAGCTTCGTGGTATTGTTGGGAGCCTCCAATTGTTGTGGAGATAGCCCCAATCTTGTTTGTAAAGGTTCGGTCGCCGCCTTCAAGGGCACCAATAGTGGAATCACGGCATCTCGCATTGTGTGAGGGTGTGAGGAGATTACGGTGGCCCTAGTGGCTTCTTGGGGAGCATTGTGCCTCCACACCGCTCTAACGGAGATGTACTTCCCCTTAAAAGGAAGGAATTTGGTAACACATCCTTGTCTCCACCGGCTCCACTCTTGGTTATTTCGTGCCTTTACTCTTGCAAGCCTACTTGTGTTGTATCCCTTGCTTGCTTATGTGCGAGTTGTTTTTGCATCATATAGGTTGCTCACATAGTTGCACATCTAGTCAACCTATTTGTTGCAAAGTTTAAATTGGTAAAGAAAAGCTTAAAAATTGTTAGTTGCCTATTCACCCCCCTCTAGTCAACCATATCGATCCTTTCAATTGGTACCAGAGCCTCGTCTCTTTTTAAGGACTTTACCGTCCGAAGAGTATGGTTGACGTCGTAGATGATGTGGGAGAGCACTCCGGTGCGAATCCGATATCATCTACGGGAGATGGGGGTAACTCCATCTCACGTGAGGAATTCAATGTGGCGTTGGACACATTGAAAACCTCCATGACGACCGAGGTCAAGGACATGTTTAAGGATTTCTTAGAAGGGCTTAAACTTTCCACCGCGCCCGTGAAAGTGGGTGATCCCGCCAACACGGTGACGGATGCTAACCCCGAAAAGGGGGAAGCTACTAGTGAGAAAGCTCCTATGTCTAGTGGTAAAAATGGCACCGGCATCTTTGCCCATGTGGAACCTCCAATTTATGGAGGGCCGATTCCCTCTACTCATTTAAATCATGCCGGTCCTCCTCCTAAGTATGAGAAACATGAAGATTTTGATTCTTGGGTTTATCGCTTCAAGCGTCATTTAAAACATGTGATACTAACCTTTGGAGAATCATTGAAGAAGGTTTCTATCCTCATGACCCAAGAAAATTCACCCCTCGAGAAGCCGTGGATAATCAATTCAATGAGAGTGCTCTCTTCATCATCCAAGATGCAATCCTTCCTGAAGATCTCCCTCATCTTCGACCTCATGCCATGGCTAAGGACGCATGGAAATGTGTTGTGTCTCTCTATCGAGGAAGT